TCCGCCGCACGAGCCAAAACGTGGCAATTTGCAAATTTCCACATGTAATGTGTGGGTACTGTGAGTTCAAAAACAGAACCAAGATGCAAGGTGTTCTGCAAGGTCCATAGGATATACCTTAGGGACGTATGGATGGTAGTGAAGGGCGTGCACTTCTTGTGGTCTTAGACTTAGCTCGACGGATGGGGGAGGTTCTTTTTCACGTATCCATACTACACATCATCAAAATAAATTAAGTGCACTAGCTCAAAAAAAAAATTCAAGAAGAAACCCGGATGATTTTACTTTATAATCAAATCCGAAAACAAGAAACAAATCCCCTAAAATACAAATAGCTTCAGAAGAGAGAGAGAGTGATTTCGATCAGTTGTAGGGTAATTAGATGTTTATTATACCCTAGTCTTAACCCACCCGACCTTGGCGAGATCTACGACGTTTGATTCGCCCCATATCACAATTCTATGTGATACCTATTGTGGTTCCAGCATAGCTATTTAGGGGTTCGGCGGCGGAACGGTTAGAGCCTTAAGCCCTCATGAAGTTCAAAATATTCAAATAAATAGTCTTATAAAATTGATTCATTTTACAAATTAGGGTTTTCTATTTAAATAAAATAATATCGCCTTAAAATCTATAACAATTCATTTCGTTCTCATTCGTGTTTAAATTTAGATATATATATATAAGAAAAGAATTAATATTATTGGATTAAGTTAAAGAGTTAAATTTAGCTACATTTTAGATTAAAAATTAAGAATTAATAAATTTGCGAGGATATATATATTCAAATTATTCAAGATTCATGGCTCATAAATTTAAGGTATAAATCAAAAGACTGAGTAATTTCTTTCAGTGGTATCCACTTACCAAAGTTCACCGCCGTTGAGCTCAAGGACAGGAATGCTATAGGTGTTTATAAAAATAATTAATAATAAATAATACAATAAATTTGCTTGGCCATGCTCGAATATTATCGCAAAGATCGTATTTCAATTAAATTCCAAATATTACTCTTTTAATTCATCGTGACTTATATATATATAAATTTATATTTATGTATATTAAAATAAACAAGAAAATGTAAACACTAATAAATTTGAATTTTTAACATTAAATTATTTGCAAAAGTATAACGCAAAATAAAAAGGTTCGAGAGAGATTTTCTTTCGTAAAAACTCCATAATATAAAATAATCAAAATATAAACTGCAAAGCTTTGAATATTTAAGCAGGCCAATATATATATAAAATTCACTGCTGCTGATACGACCGTAACCACATATTCGCTGGAGTTTTCTCTCCGTGTAGTCATCCAAAATTTCATGGAAATAATTCCATCCGATTTGATCGGAATTAATTCCGGTCGAATGTCGCTGAATTCCTTAATTAAACTAGACGATTACATAATGTCGTACTAGTCAATTATGTAACTCCTTGCTAGCCGATTGCATAACTCGGTACTAGCCGATTGCATAACTCGGTACTAGCCGCACTGGCACGTGGCACTGGGGAAAATAATACTTTAAAGAAACTGCACTGTACTAACTTAAAAACATACCTGGCTTAAAATCACTAAATCACTATTCACTGATATCCACAGCTAATCCCGCTGGGATTTAATAAATTCTTCCATAGATTTTGATTATAATAAAAACGAGTTTAAATATAGGCTTAATAATGCAGCCTTATCGCTACTACTACTTGTATGTCCTTTAAATGATAAGTTCCTAATATTTTTCCTGCCTCATTTACCAATTCATAATAAGAACGTCCTACTTTCTTCTTTACTTTGGCTTTTATAAAAAGAGGTGCTAACTTAGCGTTAAACTTCTTGCTGGCGTTGCTTTGCGCGAAATTGCGAGCAAAGACTTCATCACCGCTTTTGAATTCTATTGATCTACTTCTTAAGTTATAAACTTTGCTTGTAAAAGTGGCATTAAACAGCTGTAATGAAATTTATGATTACAAGGAGTAGTTGCCAACATCTCATTTAATGTCACAGGTTCGCAACAAATGGAACAAATAGTTTCCTGCTCTCCTACGCTTTCAGCTGGATTTTCTAAACTGTGTCTTACTGCCATTGTGAAATACTATATTATCTCTCCGATACACAAATGATCAAATAAAAAAAATATAGAATTATAAATATAATAATAAAAAATATCAAAAATCAACAAAAATCAAAATCAAAATCAATAAAAAAAAAAAAAAATTAAATCAAAATTAAGAAAACAAATTTAGTCCGCCACCAAAACTCCTATATAGCTCTTCGGGAATCCGAAGTGTGCTGGAACACTTAACTGATAAAATAAAATCTCTCTTTCTCTGATACTATTTGGGGATACCCTATTAAATTACTGACTCGTATACTTCCGATAAAATGTACATCCGGTTGGTCAAGAGCTAAAATTCCTCCAGCGTCTTGCAGTTCCTAACCAGGATTTATTATACGGACCTGATACGTCTGAAATTATAAAGCATGGTGAGGTCTGGTTATGCACAGCAGTCGCTCTGGTCGATCAGTCCAATCTGCTGAACTGCAATCGCAATTCCGAGAGACGAACCGCTTGTGGATTCCATTGCCCTCCAAGTTAAACAGACTTCATAGGTATTACGAGAAAAAAAATACTACTTCGATATATTAATGTCTGACGGGTCAAGATGCCAAAAAAAACTCTAACTTCTTGCAGTTCCACGAAAGACTAAAAAAAAAATAAAAGGAATCTGACTAGTTAATAACCTTCTAAAGCTAAAACTCTAATCAGGCCCCACGTTGGGCGCCAATTTTGTAATGTGTGGGTACTGTGAGTTCAAAAACAGAACCAAGATGCAAGGTGTTCTGCAAGGTCCATAGGATATACCTTAGGGACGTATGGATGGTAGTGAAGGGCGTGCACTTCTTGTGGTCTTAGACTTAGCTCGACGGATGGGGGAGGTTCTTTTTCACGTATCCATACTACACATCATCAAAATAAATTAAGTGCACTAGCTCAAAAAAAAAATTCAAGAAGAAACCCGGATGATTTTACTTTATAATCAAATCCGAAAACAAGAAACAAATCCCCTAAAATACAAATAGCTTCAGAAGAGAGAGAGAGTGATTTCGATCAGTTGTAGGGTAATTAGATGTTTATTATACCCTAGTCTTAACCCACCCGACCTTGGCGAGATCTACGACGTTTGATTCGCCCCATATCACAATTCTATGTGATACCTATTGTGGTTCCAGCATAGCTATTTAGGGGTTCGGCGGCGGAACGGTTAGAGCCTTAAGCCCTCATGAAGTTCAAAATATTCAAATAAATAGTCTTATAAAATTGATTCATTTTACAAATTAGGGTTTTCTATTTAAATAAAATAATATCGCCTTAAAATCTATAACAATTCATTTCGTTCTCATTCGTGTTTAAATTTAGATATATATATATAAGAAAAGAATTAATATTATTGGATTAAGTTAAAGAGTTAAATTTAGCTACATTTTAGATTAAAAATTAAGAATTAATAAATTTGCGAGGATATATATATTCAAATTATTCAAGATTCATGGCTCATAAATTTAAGGTATAAATCAAAAGACTGAGTAATTTCTTTCAGTGGTATCCACTTACCAAAGTTCACCGCCGTTGAGCTCAAGGACAGGAATGCTATAGGTGTTTATAAAAATAATTAATAATAAATAATACAATAAATTTGCTTGGCCATGCTCGAATATTATCGCAAAGATCGTATTTCAATTAAATTCCAAATATTACTCTTTTAATTCATCGTGACTTATATATATATAAATTTATATTTATGTATATTAAAATAAACAAGAAAATGTAAACACTAATAAATTTGAATTTTTAACATTAAATTATTTGCAAAAGTATAACGCAAAATAAAAAGGTTCGAGAGAGATTTTCTTTCGTAAAAACTCCATAATATAAAATAATCAAAATATAAACTGCAAAGCTTTGAATATTTAAGCAGGCCAATATATATATAAAATTCACTGCTGCTGATACGACCGTAACCACATATTCGCTGGAGTTTTCTCTCCGTGTAGTCATCCAAAATTTCATGGAAATAATTCCATCCGATTTGATCGGAATTAATTCCGGTCGAATGTCGCTGAATTCCTTAATTAAACTAGACGATTACATAATGTCGTACTAGTCAATTATGTAACTCCTTGCTAGCCGATTGCATAACTCGGTACTAGCCGATTGCATAACTCGGTACTAGCCGCACTGGCACGTGGCACTGGGGAAAATAATACTTTAAAGAAACTGCACTGTACTAACTTAAAAACATACCTGGCTTAAAATCACTAAATCACTATTCACTGATATCCACAGCTAATCCCGCTGGGATTTAATAAATTCTTCCATAGATTTTGATTATAATAAAAACGAGTTTAAATATAGGCTTAATAATGCAGCCTTATCGCTTAAGCGTATGCAAGTTAATGTCTAAGCTTCCCTATGCAAATCTAGCCCTAACTATGCTAGAATAAAAAGCTCTCAAAAGCTTTCACATAACTGATGCTGCACTATGTATTATCTCGATATGCAAAAACCAATAGATAAGATCGCGTGATATTTTTCGTTCACTTATCCAAGGTGACCGGAGAATATTAGATACAACACTTTAGCTTTTTAAAAATATCTTAATTTCTATGTTTTCTGTGATATGGATGCCCTGTTGGAAATCCACACACTACACACACTTCTCCCGTGAGACTCCTCCTCGCCAGGCAGGCACACTCCTCCAAGGACACCCTACGCCCCGAAGAAAACCCAAAGTTTCTGGCGTGCGCACGCAAGGGAAGCGAACAAGTTACCAAAAGTCAAGGGGCAAGGAGCAACTCTCACATCAAAGCCCTGATGAGTTGCAAACTGTGAATTACGAGGGCGATGATGAGAAGCCCCCTGCAAGGAGCAAGGGATAGGGAAGTGTAACCCAGTTAAGAATTTCCCTGGAAAGTCGTCGCTTTAATTCAATTTGCAGTTTGCGTTCGCATAATAAACTCAAGTGCAGGCGAATGCAAATGCCGCTTGCTTCTTGGCCGGATTTAATGAGCTTCGAAACTTAATTGTTATGGCCGAGCGGCATGGCACGACACGGAGGAGTCCTGCCTCCAGACCTGCTGCCCTCGAGTCCATCCTACGTGCTGCACATGGTGAGGCCATCGCCCACGCAAGAGGCGTAGGCCATCATGTGGGGAATGGTGTTCTGCTCGTACACCCCGGTGAACAGGTGCGACCAGGGACCCACGGCGTAGACCGGCACATCGTCTCCCCCGTGGGAATCGTTTCCCATGGGCACTCCCGAGGGATATTCCGAGTCACGGTCCTCCTTCACCACCGTGCTGGGATCCTTGCGCAGCTTCTCGTTCGTGTCGTAGAAGTGGGAGTAGCTGGGTCCGTTCGAGTAGCTCAGGATGGTGTAAGGCAGGCCATCCTCGCCAAGCTCCGGGGCCATGCCAAAGACATCCTCACCGCGGTACTGAAATGAAAGGAGGGTTAGTAAAGGATCAGTATCAGTAACACTTAAACCCAAAGGGTAGTAACATATAGAAATAATATGAGTTGGTAGTTTCCCTACATTCTTACGATTTATTGAGAAAAATATTTAGGTACTATTATTTTGTTAACACAGCGATGTAGGAGTGCTTTTGAGGCCCTAATCTGAAGATTGCTTTATCTCTAAGTATTCTCGTGTTTATCTGACGATTGAGTGCATTGGTGATTAGGGGGATATAAACTGGGTGGTCCTGCATATTTCCCAAACGTGGCCTATGAAGTGTCTACTTGAAAGTAAGAAGTACCACCGACTGATAAAAAAAACCTATTCGAGCTTGTTTGAAGAACAAGTCGTAAAATAATTACTGTTTTCTGAACTTTAGAGCTGGAAAAACCCTTAGATTATTTGGTAAAATTCCAAAGGAAAAAATACAGTCACTCACTGCGTATCCTGCGTAGGTGAACACGTGGGAATGATCCGCTGTGACCACTATCAGAGTGTCCTCCTCGCTGGTCAGCTCCTTGGCAGCGGCAATGGCATTGGAGAACTCGGCGGTCTCGTTCAGAGCCTGGCGAGCCTGATTGTAGTGGTGGGCGTGGTCAATACGACCGCCCTCAATGAACAGGAAGTATCCATTCTCACTCTGGCTCATGTACTCGATAGCCTTGCGGGTCATCTGCTCCAGGGTGGGCTGCTGGCTGTCGAAGCTGTTCTCCAGGCGGTACTTCAGATGGTCGTCGTGGAAGAGTCCCATGAGACGGTCCGTCTTGGTCATGTCCACGGCATTCAGCTCGTCCAGGTTGGATACATACGCGTTCTTGTCGCTCTGCGACTTGAACTCCTCGATGAGGTCGAGTCCGTCACTGCGTCCGGTGAAGTGCTTGCGTCCTCCTCCCATGATCACACGGAGCTTGCTGCCCACCTTGCCGCGGGAGAGCTGGTAGGCGATGTCCTTGTAGACGGTGTCCGATTGACAGCGATCGCCCATGTCCGAAGTGCCTTCCCAGTCACGCTCCGAGGTGTGGGCGTAGACACCGGCGGGCGAGGCGTGCGTCACACGGGTGGTGGTCACTAGACCCGCCCACTTGCCCGCATCCATCGCCCACTTTGCGATGGAGTCGACATGGTTGTTCTCGTCCATCATGGTGTTGCAGTCCGAGCGGGGCACCTGGCCGTTCACGCCGATGGTTCCCTGCTGGGCCTTCACTCCGCACAAATAGGCCGTGGCCGTGCAGGCCGAGTCCGGGACGATTTTGTTCACGGAGTAGGTCTTGGAGAATCCGGAGTAGGGGAAACCATCGAAGGAAAGCGACTTCTCCTCGCCTCCCAGGACATTCCGGGCGGATGAGGTAGTGGTCACACCCATGCCGTCGCCCAGGAACATAATCACGTTCTTGGCCTGCCGTTTGTTCTGCTCAGAAGCCAGTTTCTCCTGGACGAACTTCTTGCCCTGATCCTGCCAGTAGGCGTTAGTGTCCTCGCCCTCGATCACCCGCGACGTCCTGCCCTTGGGCTCCGGCAAATCCGGGTGCATCCTGTGCTCCCGGCACTGCTCGGGATTCGGACCGCACTCCGGTGCCGACCAACAGGAACCGGCCAGCACCAGGATAACGATGAGGATTGCGTTAAGACCGCGGAACATGTTGCTGAAGACTGACTTCACTTTCGAAATTCTGGGCGCTTTGTATCGGCGGTTCGGTGGGGTCTCGATTGGTTCGCGATAAGATACATCAAGTGGAGAGTTGTAAAATCGATTAAGTCTAAAGCTCCACTTAATCCGCCTAATCGGTTGGTGTTCCCCTAAAAAACAAACCTTTTGGATCAACAGAAATTAATATCAGGCAGGTTATCAGCCAGTACTCTTCATGAGTACTTGATTCTGAGGAGAATGAAAACACAATCATTAGGGCTGTATTTACATCGTTTTTATTTCCATATTTAAGTTCTAATAATCTCTGACTTCCTTAAGAGCTGCACATAGTGTGTCCATCGCCCAGGCAGGATGCGTAGGCCATGAGGTGGGGGATGGTGCTCTGCTCGTAGACACCCGTAAACAGATTGGACCAGGGACCCAGGGCAAAGACTGGTACATCGTCGCCGCCATGCGAGTCCATATCAATGGGCACTCCGGATGGGAACTCGTCGTCGTGCTCTCCCTTCACCACCGTGGTGGGATCCTTGCGCTCCTTGGTCACCGTATCGTAGAAGTTCTCGTAGCTGGGTCCGTTGGCATAGCTCAGAACCATGTAGGGATGACCGTCGTGTCCTGTCACAGGAGCCGCTCCGAAGATGTCCTCGCCACGGTACTAGAAACAAGAAAATACGTTAACTTGCCAAATTGGTTCAGCTTCTCCGAACTACTTACCCCGTATCCGGCGTATGTAAACACATGAGAGTGATCCGCGGTGACCACCAAAAGGGTGTCGTCCTCGCTGGTCAACTCCTGGGCGGCGGCAATGGCCTTGGAGAACTCAATGGTCTCGTTCAGGGCCATCCTCGCCTGGTTAATGTGGTGGGCCTGGTCGATGCGTCCGCCCTCGATGAACAGGAAGTATCCATTCTCGCTCTGGCTCATGTACTCGATGGCTTTGCGGGTCATCTGCTCCAAAGTGGGCTGCTGGCTGTCCTCGGTGGTCTCCATGCGATACTGCAGGTGATCCTCGTTGAAGAGCCCCAAGAGGCGGTCTGTCTCTGCCAGATTCACGGCATTCAGTTCATCCAGGGTCGTAACGTATGCATTCTTTGCGCTGCCCAACTGGAACTCCTCGATGAGGTCGAGGCCGTCGTTCCGCTTTCCCCAGGACGCTAGGCTGGCATCCACGAAGTGCTTGCGTCCACCGCCCATGATCACCTTCAGTTTGCTGCCCACCTCTCCGCGCGCCAGCTGGTAGGCAATGTCCCGGATGCCGGAGTCGGCTCCACAGTCGCCGGCAACCTCCGCGTCGTTTTCCCAGTCCCGTTCCGCGATGTGGGCGTAAACGCCGGAGGGCGAGGCGTGCGTCACACGGGTGGTGGTCACCAGACCAGCCCACTTGCCAGCATCCATCGCCCACTTGGCAATAGAGTCCACGTGGGTGCTTTCGTCCAGCATGACGGTGCAGTCGGTGCGTGGCACCTGTCCATTTACACCTATGGTGCCCTCCTGACCTTTCACTCCGCACAAGTAAGCCGTTGCCGTGCAGGCCGAGTCCGGAACGATCTTATCCACAGAGTAGGTCTTCGAGAGGCCCGAGTAGGGGAAGTTCTCGAAGGAGAGAGACTTCTCTTCGCCGCCCAGAAGGTTTCGCGAGGCCGAGGTGGTGGTCACGCCCATGCCGTCGCCCAGGAAAAGGATCACGTTCTTGGCCTGGCGCTTGTTGGGCTCGGAGGAGACCTTCTGCTGCACGAAATCAATGCCCTGCTGCCGCCAATAGGCATTGGTGTCCTCGCCCTCGACCACACGCATCTTCCGGCCGGATACCGGCTCCGGCTCTGGCAGATCCGGATGCATCTGGCGCTCGTGGCACTGTTCTGTACTGCGACCGCACTCCGGCGCCGACCAGCAGGAGCTGGCCAGCAAAAGGACAACGACGAGAGCTGCGTTTGGTCCGCGGGACATTTTGCTGAAGACTAACCGGACGGGGTATCTCTGCCACTTGGCCGTCACGGCCTATCGACTTAGATTCAATTCGATTTGGCAGCGATAAGATACGATAAGGCTAGACGTGTAGATTCCATAAATCTCATCCAATCTAATGCGCCATCCGATTCCCTTAGTCCGGCGCAGGCTTTTACTTTCCGTATTTACGATGGCCAGCGACAAATTTTATAGATTTATTGGCTTGGCTTTGGCCGCGAACTGCCGGGCACGTGAGCCCCGGACTTGTTGCCGAGATGCCCCGATACCCCCTACGCCATAGAGTTCCAATGAATTCCAATGAATTACGGAATTACGGAGTTACGGGAAAGGCAATGACCATCACGTAATCTGGCTGGAAAATCTGACGACGGCACGTGAATGGGTTACTGGTTAATGGAAAAGACGTCCGCGGAAGAGTCGCGGCGGGCACCGCATTTCACATTTATTTTGACCCATAAAATCCGGGTCATAAACAGGTGACGGTTTCGCCGGGCGGTTTTCCTCCGTTTTTAATATCCAGCTGAGAAATGCAAAGGCATTGAAATGGAAGAAAAGCAGCTGCCAGGCCAAGCCAACCACCACTCCGCAGAGCGAAAAAGGTTAAAGTTGAGTTGCCCAGCAAGGGGGCCGGGGGGCGAGGGGCGACTGTCGACCTTGGTTTGCACTTGGCCAAAGGAAAAGTGGCCAAATGAAAGCAGAGCTAAGAAATCGCCCGTGGCGCAAAATTGCAACTGTTGAATACACACAAATCTTAAAGTTCGCCCTTGTGCTTGGACACTTGAACTTATCGCTATCGCCAAATAAATAAATGTTTGCTAGTCTTTCGAGTCGAGTCACAGGCAAACAAATTGTCGATATTTACGACTAAAAATAGCAATTTCTTAGAAGCAATTATAAATTGAGTCACTCGGCATTAAAGTAGAAGTATTGACAGAAATCCAAGCCATAAATTCAAGATTAGTTTGTTGATAGAAATCAGTTGAAAGGTTTGGGTTTTACAGTCGCATTTCTAAATAGATACTCTAATAGATACGCATTTCTAATAGATAATAGATCCATCTAAATAGATACTCTGTCTGTGGTTTCCTTTTATCCAATGTATACTGTGCTGCGAATGCTATTTCGTTTACCCTCCTTACACATGAATAATGCGAATATTTATGTCGTTCACACACATACCGGGCGTATACGTAATTTTTTGTATTTACACAAGCCAAATGGAAGGGGACAGTGCTGCGCACTTAATGCTGCCTAATAAATTCGGAGCTCTGTTTCGAGTGTCAAGATTGTGGCCATTTAGCCAAGGCAAGAGCATTAATCAAAGTGCCCGAGGTTCTTGGCTTATGTGCACTCGATAACACTCTGCACCACACCTACCATTTCCCACCCAACACCTTACATCACATGCCACTTTACACTCCATTTATTGGCCTGGCTGAGAGCTAATCCCCTAATCCATTGCAGGAAAATCATCGAAATCCTTATTCTGGAAGAGAGCAGCTACGAGAAGGATGTCAGCTTCAAGGTGCACATCGGGGAACCCCGGCTGGCTCCAGGTAAGCTTTGATTCGAATGCACCAAAGTCTCCTGCTCCCAAAATACCCAAAGAGTCCTCACCCGAAACCCCAACACCCATCCACCTCCGCCCTGACAATGCTAACCGAATAATGATAGAAAGCCCAGCTAGAAGTGCACCAAAGATGGCACAAGTTTTTTGGACACCACGGACCACCACTATCACTGACCAGGCAGCAACCTCACCATCCACCATCCCTGTCCAACCTTCCATCCCCTCCAAAACTTTTCCTACGGAAACCTTTTCTTTTCGACTTCCTTGCTTCCTCGACCCTAAAAATGTTTAAATAAAAAAAACAGGTGGAAAAGCCGAACAACAACAAAACATGAAACTTTGTAAATGGAAAAATTCCCATTTGAATTGAAAACTTGAAAAAATTGCTACCTGATATTTCGTATGTCTTTTCGCATCCTTTCGACTCATGGGTTACTTTTATACTTTTGGTCTTTTAATTTGTGTTCTTTATGCTTCTAGATTCCACTCACTACTGTAAGCCTTGAATTGTGCATTAATTAATTTTATTTTAATTGAACACGAAAGCGTAAAACGGAAAATGGGGGGAAAACGCGAAAATCGAGTTTCGATTTCTTAAGTTGCAGCAGGATCTGTTGCCAAGCCCAGAATCTAATTTGGGCTCCTTTCTTTCTCTCAGCGAGTGCGGAAATTGCGGGAAAAAAAGTGCAAATTCATTTTATACGTTTCCCTTTTTTGTTTGGGTACCCAAGAGAATAAACAATAGCCCTAATTTAGTTGCGTATATTGTGTTTATGGTGTTTAGTGTGTGTTTCCCAGTACCCTCCTAGTTTCTAGTCCTTGTATCCTTGTACCCTTTACTGTAAATATTTGTTTTGAGTTGTGATTCGGCAAAGGGCAGGAGAACTTTATTATGTGTCTTGATTCTTATGTTTTGATAAATCACCGATGTTAGCATAACTCCCAGCTCACATCCCCCAATGTGGAATGATGTATCGACTAGCGAACTGTGTAAACCCATCTGAAAATCCTCCATCCTTGAACCACTTCCACTAGCACCACTCAGAATCCAAATATCAACATCCCCTCCATCTGTACACTTGCTTGTGATTAACCTAGACATTGCTCATACAATTGTTTATCTTATCCAATCGAAATAATCAAAATAATCGAACCAATCGTACCACTCGAACCTCCGTAAACGCCAAACGATACATGTACAATCTTCCTCACGCAGATGACATTAACAAGGAATCATTTTTCAATCGATTTTTTGGTATGTAAACCTCATTCTATCCCCATATATCGATCAACAACTTCAAGTGTTCAGTTAAAAGTGAATATGCAAAAGAAAAACAAAAGAAAATCTAAATCTAATAGATAAATTGTACAAAAAATGACTGCGCCGTTTTTATTTTCACATTTTTTAAGTTTTTGATGATTTTTTTTGGTCATTAACCCACACGTCGTATACATAATCCACGTTAGTGTATCTTCGTGTATCTGTTTTTTTGTATCTTCGTGTGCAAGTATCTGTAGCTATGTGTGTATCTGTGAGTGTTTAAGTGCATTTGCATCTGGATCTGTGTCAGCATTTGCATTAAACCCGAACAATTGCGCTTTTTTCGACGCAGCAGCCACGCACTTGATAAATGCAAGCTTCAAGCTTCCTGTAAAGTAATCGATATAAAAATATGAACACTTAGCAAGCACGCAGACTCCTTACGGGCTTCGTCTTCAATTAAAAATAAAATTAGTCACAGGGACACAGTTATTTGGTAATCCTTTTGGTTAATGGTTAAAATCTCTATGCTCGGCGGACATTGTATTACGCGCTTGTGCCCGCATCTCGCTCCTATCACCTTGTTGTGAAAACCGCTGCTCGAACCCGATTTGAATACGCACGGTATCGATCGATATACATATATCGGTAAATCACCACTCAAAAACGCCTCTGTAAGTAATACTACTCGTTTGATCACACACGTAAGGCTGCGTACTTAATGCTTGATACATTTTGAGCATTTTGTTTGTTTTTGTCCAGTTTTCTTATGTTTATTCGTATCTGTGTGTTAGAGTTTAAGAGAGCTTTTTAAAGATTAAGGATTCTGATTAAAGTATATGTCGATATGTGTTATTTTGCTGTTCTGTGTGTGTGCGTGTGCTGTTATCGTTATCCTGAGAAAACAAAATCAAGATCGAATAACTTATGCCCGGCTTACCCCAATTAAAAACTGTTGAAATGTCATCGCATATTCGTTAACTGAATATTTAGAAAGTGATTGTTGAAGCAATATCCAACATGATTGAGAACATTTAACTACGATTTTCTGAACTCTACCCCACCACCACCACCACCACCACTGTATCATCCTCCGTACTTGTCATGTTGTCGATTATCGATTGTCGATGTGTCTATAGAAAAACACGAACACACTGGAGATCCCACTCGTGAGTCATCAATATCTGGGGGACCTTTTTATATGAATCTGTGACCTTATGCATGCCTGGTTCTCTCAATCTGTCAATCTTTCAATCTGTGCTCTGTCCTTACCCTACCAGTCTGCTCAACATGCAGTTTATCAATTTTCATTTTCCACTCAATTGCATCCTAATGGCAATTTAGCATAAATGTTTTGCAAGCTCATTGAAACGCCAACAGAGAAAGCGCACAACAAGGAATCCAATTTGGCCTTTACTTCCAATGAGTTTCGATTTGTGTTTTTACAATTACTCCCCCCTCGGTTGGCTTCCTCCCTCTATACTATATATATTGTCTTTTTTTTTTTAATTAAAGCCCGCATCCCCTGCCCACCATATGCTTTTAATTAGTTTCCAACTAATTGCGAGCGTATGCGTGTGTGTTTATTTATTTAAGTGCGAAACTCTCCGCTTCAGCCTCTATGTTTCTTGGTCTATTCTTCACCATCTATCTGTACCTTATGTATCACACCCTATATACTTATTTGTGTCTATCAATAGTTGTCCTTGTGTCACGTATTCATAAGATACTCTTACTCTTTTGTGGGGTTTTGGCTGCATGCAGTACAGTGACATCTAACTCAGCCCCCATCTGAATCAGTAATATCTAATTTTCCGTTTACCCCGGCCTAGACGACGAATTGGCAGCCAAAATCGAGGAAGTTGAGAAGAAATCCCCGCAGGACCTCACCGAACTGGATCGCATCCTGTTGTTGAGCAAGCCCCGGAACGGAGAGCTGACCACCGCCTATGTGCGCATTCGCGAGAGCCAGGAATTTAAGGTGAGTATCTAGGGTTTCATGGGGTGGAGGGTCAAAGGACTGGAGGACTAGAGGACTCCACGCTCAAAGCACAATGCAAATGAAAAGCAATTCAATTCACTCGCCAACCACTCTGGCAGGGTGTCCAAATCCCACAGCCCATTTACATGGCCAGGACAAAGCGAGAGACAGTCACACCCGTAATGATTTCCCCTCTGGGAGGATCCTTGGGTATGGGTTGGGGATGGACCAGGGGTGTGTCAGTTATCCAGTCGCCAGATCGAGTTACCATCAACCGCTCAGGTGCATGGCAAATAAGCACCTAATTGTGTGCAAATCTCCAAATGACATGTTGAGTGCTCTGTTTACCTGTCCGTGTGCGTTTTATGGACGGGTCTTTATCTTCACTCGGTGGCGTATACGTAATGTGCGTTCAGGGACGGTCGTAAGTGAGGTATTTTGGTTTAACCTCGCTAAAAAAGTTTCAGCAAACTGAAAGTGATAGTTTAGCGTTCTGGGAATTATTCTGACAGATTTTATCATCTATCCGAAACAGGCTACGGTGGACAAACTGGTGGCCAAGGCAAACGTTTCGGCAGTTCTTGGCACATCCTCCTGGAAGGAGCAGTTCAAAGATGCCCTCACAGTTCTACCATGTAAGAAAACATTTCCCAGAAACCCCATTTTTATTCAAAACACAATTCATTCCATTTTCCAGCCGATGAATCCGAGTTCGATAACGATGATGAGGTAGAGGAGGAGGTGCCCAGCTGCTTCAGCTACATAAGCCACTTCGTCTGCCTCTTTTGGAAGGTGCTCTTTGCATTTGTGCCGCCTACAGGTAAGCGTTTAGCCTTTAAGATTCTGCGGGTATCCTTTTCTGTAACTGATACCTAACTGTAACCAACCCGCAGATATTTGCGGCGGCTACGTGACCTTTGTGGTATCGATATTCGTCATTGGCGTCATCACCGCCATTATTGGAGATGCCGCTACGTATTTCGGCTGTGCTCTGAACATCAAGGACTCGGTAACAGCTATCCTGTTCGTTGCTCTGGGCACCAGTATACCAGGTTAGATATTAATTAAGACCGATAGCTTGCATCTGATAGCTGATATGTCTGAAATTTCAATTTTGCAGACACTTTTGCGAGCATGATAGCGGCCAAGCACGATGAGGGGGCCGACAACTGCATCGGCAACGTCACAGGCAGCAATGCGGTTAACGTATTCCTGGGCATCGGCCTGGCTTGGACCATCGCAGCTGTCTACCACAGCTCCAATGGCGGAACCTTCAACGTCGAACCGGGAACGTGAGTACCTTCTGGCTCTAATAATTGGATTTTGTTACGAATAAAAAACCCATTTTAGGATTGGCTTTGCTGTGGCGCTGTTCTGCGGCGAGGCTTTAATTGCCATCCTGCTGATCATGGTTCGGCGCTGGACCAAGGGCATCGGAGCCGAGCTAGGTGGTCCCAAGGTCAGCAAGTATGTCAGCGCTGGCATCCTGGTATTCCTTTGGGTCTTCTACGTGGTCATCTGCACACTGGAGGCCTACGATGTCATCGTTATCTAAGGAGCTCAACAAACCGCATTGCTTTCACTTTGGCGTTGGCTTTGTTACTTGCATTGGCGTTCAATGATCAGCAAAGTATCGTATCAATAAAAGTTGGAACATGTTTTTGGCAAAACTGGCTAACTGGCCGCAAATGAGAAATGAGATGCTGCAGGAAGCAATTTTTATATGTAAACTAATGGTGTATATGGGCGCTCGGCGGTTATATACACAAATATATTTATTATGTAAAATTTATGTTAATACTAAAAGTAAAATTGTAATGTTTAACTAGGTTTAAGTCAGGCTTATATATATAGAAAAAACCAAAATATTTTCCGATTATTATTGTCTCTATTCATATTATGAATTGTAAATACAGAAAGGCTGCCACGGCTCAGCAATCTTGTAATTGTAAACGAGATATCATTCATTGTTATGCCATATGTACTTAATTTTATTATTAAATACGATTATATTTATTATATCATTCTGTGTACAACTTAAGTCATTGTTGTTGTTTGTTAAAGCTGTACTTAATCCACTCTATGGAATACTCTATGGGGAGCTTAAGTTTCTTTTAGAATTCGATAAATATCTCTCCATCTGCCGAAAACCATTGTTAATTTAATACATGTGTAAGTTTTAGAAGAGTCCAAACTTTTTAGCCAAGAAGAGTCGTAACTGCTACTTAGCCATCTACTGCTACAAATAACAAGTAACTACTCTCTACCAAATAGGAGCCTCCACTGCAACTAGTTCTAGTCTAGTCACTCTCACTATCGACACGAATCCAAACCACTAGTTACGGCATTTTCCACTAACTTTGACCAAATAGAGCAAATGGCGGCACTACTTACCTAGAGACTAGCAAGAAAGACCACTACTCAGACTTGAGAGCACTAATCAATTTACTTAAAAAGACTTTCACTTTGCTTGTGTCGCTGGCAGTGATCGAAGATCGAAATCGGAGTTAATAAACTACTGGATATTAAGGCAAACACCAAAAAGAAGAACAGACAAAAACCAAATAACAAATACATTAAATGAATGCGAAAGTAACTAAAATTGATTGTAATCAAAATGTAATGAGCAGGTACATATTTTTTGTATAGTGTTGTACTATTTTTCATATAGCAAAATTCTAGATCCTAGAAAATTTATTGATGGGAGTGCAAGAACCTAATGATATTTATAGCCACATGCATAAATTTGTATTATACATATATTTGGGGTCACACAACTGTACGGGGAACTTGATGAGAAAACTGCGCCAAATTTAGACGTAATTGATAATTAATTACCACATACATATATATACGAACTATGAAACAAATGAATAATTATACAAACAACGGATGAATAATGTATTAAGTTATATTGTCAATGTTTACTGCTAGATATTTTAATTAAATTTCTTTTTAAATTTATTTCAATTATTGCCTTTTTATTTCCAATTTTCAACCTGCAGATGTTATATGTAGTCTACAAGTATAGGGTTTGTAGATCCAAAACAGAAAGAAAGCATACATTACGGCAGTTAACAGACCAGGGGTCAGGGTAAGATTGTGGCCATTTATCCTTGGCGAGGATATCAATATAGTAGACAGCAGGATAGGGATATTCCGAATGATGATTGAAATAGAAGTGCCGAACAATATGACGCAAAGGATAAACAGTTACGATATATATACGCGATTGCAGACATACAGAGAATTAACTATAAACGATTATCTTAAATGGCAAAGGCAAATAAAACGATTAAAGTGCTTCCGACGTAGGATGTAGGTACTTCTAAAGAACTTTGAGTAGGACGAGTATCTGGATAAAGAGGTGAGCAGATTTTGGAAAACGATTTAATGGTTCTGATAATTTATTTTATTCTTATTTCCATAGTTTCCATAATATATTTCCATTCTGTTACTTGTCAACACCTTATTCAAATTTCAAAATCCATTCCATAGATGTACGCTAGCTAATAGGATTCGGGAATCTGTGTGTTTTGATGCGAAAACGAAAAAATTAATATGTATGTGTATTGTACAATATTAATCATTTGTTATTTGTTATCGTGTATTTTCGTGTTATCGTGTAATTAAAATTATACCTGCATTTTTACCTACATATATACTTATGAATGTGATTTTAACCAAACGTATAACTTGTGCATCCAAAACAAACAGTCTAAGAGTATCCAAAAATCTAGAATTATACGAATAATCGAATAGATCGAATACCACATATGTAGTTTGTGTAGCATATGCTTGGAGTGGATCTAGATCTAACCGTCACACATTAACCAAAACTTTTCTCACTCTCAGTACGTTATAAGAAATTACCCTAACGAAATCTACACATTTGAATATATATTAAAAATACTCACTATGAGATCATACTCGAGCCCTAAGCCTACACCAGCAGCGGGAGATGATAGAATGAAGAAAGCTTGATGATTTAGCCAAAAATGAATAGAGCCTAGGGCCTAGAGTTACTGGCAACTTTCAGCAGTGCTGCATACGAAGTATACTTATTTGTATTCATATGCATGTTTACCAAAATGAAAACCAATAAACTACACATAAAACAAACCGACTTAATTTTTTTAAGGGGTTTCATCATGACTTTGCCCAAAAATTTATCCAAAATCGTTCCCAAAAACCTGGCAACAAAAATTTTGAACCAATTTTTAAAGCTTCTCAAAACTATACGTACATATTGGGCCATGGTCATTTACTCATGTCAAAAATAAAAAAGGCTGAAAAAAGCTACAAGCCCGATGCGGAAATGACGGTGAAATTCCAGAAAACCGAAAGCCACATTTATGCATATTTTATATTAAAAACATTTTTTTTTATTTCGTGCATCTCATTTCGTTGAACAATTTCTTATCGCTATGGGAAACTGGGGGACGATCGTTTGTTATGTAATGCCCCAAAAAAAAGCTCTTCTAGATAAGGAAGCTGAGCGAAGAGACAAAAACGACAAAACCCGGAGAGATAAAGTTGTTTACAGGAATCCGAACACAAAGACTATAAAGCTATTAAGCGATGAAGCAACCCCAGCTGCAAGTTAATTAAAGTTGCGACAAAACAAGAGCCAGTCACCAGTTGTCCGTCAGTTGTTCTCCACGGAACAGTTCCCGGCGAATTGCACTCGGTACTTTGAAGTGTTTGCAGTCCCAAGAGCAGTCCACCAAGTGGCAACCAAGGAAAAATCTGTTAGTATCGGCTTCCCAACTTCCCAACTTTATGATATCCTTTTTTCCATATACAAAAAATTCTTTTAAAATTTCTTACCACAATTCATGACTGAAATATAAAGATAGTCAAGAATCAACTTTGGTAATGTTTGTAAATCTTATCTTGTACAACAAAGTATCTTGACGTAAACCAATGCCAATTAGTTTTAACAAAAAAGAGCTATATTAAAGTTTCTTAAAATATTTTTTGACACGAAACCCTTTTTTCAGACATCCTGAGAAGCCCTGCCAACTATACACTCTCAGAATACCCTTTATTTAACAAGGCAAATATGTCCTGCAATGAGAAAACAGCGCTGCTGGCTACACAGCCAGGACATCATCATCAGCAGCAACAGCACATTATTGTCCTGCCGTCCGCGCGCAAGGATCCTGGGGATTATGAGCCCATTTACACAACGGCTGAGTAAACGCTTTTCCTCGCCTTTCATTAAAAGGAATAACTAAGTTACACAGCATTTGGTTTTCCCATTTTCCAGCTATTCCTACGGCCTTACACTGGAGGAGTTGCTCCCCTTTGCCCTGGATCCCTGGTGGCAGAAAGTGCGACGGCTCTGCTTCGGAGGCCTGGGACTCGCCTTCCTGCTGACCCTGATAGCCGGAGTGACTCTGGCCTATTCTGGAAATGTCTGTCAGACGAACAGAGCAATTAGCGGGAATGCCACCGCCACAACACTTCCCGCCCCACTGGCCCTGACCACGAATGGCACGACCGCCTCCGTCAGGAGCACCACCCAGCTACTGCTGGCCAGTTTGTAGCCTCCGGAGCCGACTAATCTGAGAAACTAGTGACGATGCTGCAATCCCCCACGATGAATTGCATCAGCCGCACGCACAAGATGCATTTGTTTGGCTTGCCGGGTGCCGTGGATGCGGATGCGGATGACTGATGATGGATGCGGCTTTCACACTTTACCCTAGTTACTAAGTGTTTACGCCGTAAATGCGATAAGCCGCGATGTGTTGCTCGGCGGAACCAATTGATTGTGGGACAATTGTGTTTGTTTACATGGCAGATTATTGCAATCGTCATTGTTCGTTATCAACAACTGAGATATTTTCTTAAATTTAAATGCACCTAACAGATAAAAACGCACCTTAACGAAAAGTAAAATTAATTTTAAACTTAAGTCGTAAAGTTCTTTAAAAATAAATGTGTCATAATATAGAAAATCGGTCCAAAAATTTGTCCCCTTCAAGAGGTTTTTTATTTTAAAGAAATACTTTGCATACGAAACAGCTGTCTAAAGATCGCTGCTTACAAAATGGTACTTTCTTTCCTGATCGTATACGAATTGGCAGAGCTATGGCCATCGGATGGAGCAAAAGTGGGGAAACCAGAAAAACCCACAATTTGATAGAGAAACCCCTTAGAAAAATTTGAAAAAATTAAAAACGATATTTAAGCAATGTTTTGAATGAGGAAAGTCGCTCCTGGGTTCGCTGATTACAAAATGGTACTTTATATCCTGATCGTATAGATATTGGCAGAGCTATGGCCTTCGGATGGAGCAAAAGTGGGGAAATCAGAAAAACCCACAATTTTATAGAGGCACCCCTTGGAAAAATTCGAAAAATTTAAAAACGATATTTAAGCAATGTTTTGAATGAGGAAAGTCGCTCCTGGGTTCGCTGATTACAAAATGGTACTTTATATCCTGATCGTATAGAAATTGGCAGAGCTATGGCCTTCGGATGGAGCAAAAGTGCGGAAATCAGAAAAACCCACAATTTTATAGAGGAACCCCTTGGAAAAATTCGAAAAAATTAAAAACGATATTTAAGCAATGTTTTGAATGAGGAAAGTCGCTTCTGGGTTTGCTGATTACAAAATGGTACTTTATATCCTGATCGTATAGAAATTGGCAGAGCTATGGCCTTCGGATGGAGCAAAAGTGGGGAAATCAGAAAAACCCACAATTTTATAGAGGAACCCCTTGGAAAAATTCGAAAAATTTAAAAACGATATTTAAGCAATGTTTTGAATGAGGAAAGTCGCTCCTGGGTTCGCTGATTACAAAATGGTACTTTATATCCTGATCGTATAGAAATTGGCAGAGCTATGGCCTTCGGATGGAGCAAAAGTGGGGAAATCAGAAAAACCCACAATTTTATAGAGGAACCCCTTGGAAAAATTCGAAAAATTTAAAAACGATATTTAAGCAATGTTTTGAATGAGGAAAGTCGCTTCTGGGTTTGCTGATTACAAAATGGTACTTTATATCCTGATCGTATAGAAATTGGCAGAGCTATGGCCTTCGGATGGAGCAAAAGTGGGGAAATCAGAAAAACCCACAATTTTATAGAGGAACCCCTTGGAAAAATTTGAAAAATTTAAAAACGATATTTAAGCAATGTTTTGAATGAGGAAAGTCGCTCCTGGGTCCGCTGATTACAAAATGGTACTTTATTTCCTGATCGTATACGAATTCGCAGAGCTATGGCCATCGGATGGAGCAAAAGTGGGGAAATCAGAAAAACCCACAATTTTATGAATGATACAAAAAGGATTAGTATGAGTATTTTTGTTGGGTTGATTTAGTAGTTTTATTTAAAGCAAGAAAGGAAATGTAACTTCGGGCGAATCCGAAGGATATGCAGTTACTTGCAGTTAAGATTGGATGTGTATCGCAATATATATTAATTTATTATTAAAACTTGCCTATTAATCAAGCCATTCTTAAATTCATTATCCATGGCACCGACAAATTTGTATTGTTATGTACGATATATTTTATTATTTTTTAAACAAAGTTTTCTAAGTTTTCACTAATTTAATCAGCGTGAAGCGTCACATTGGCTGTTTTAAGTTCCTTGGTGGAATTTCTAGAAACCACACGCACGGAAGTGGAGGCTCTGCCCATTTCTGTTCTGTGCAACTTGGGCTCCTGCCTGGCGTCCGACCAGGGTCCAAGATCAAAATGAAATCCTTGTATATCCTGGCAGTCCATCTGAGGATTTCCTTCCTCCCGAAGGCGCTGCATGACATGCTGGCGCACTCGGGTTATTCCATCCGAATTTCGGCATATAATGGCGGCCAGGCTGGTGTTATAGATCTCCGCCAATTGCGCTGCCAGAATAAAAAGGGTTAGCATAATCATTGTGGCTTAGTATTTCACGGACACAGACCTTTGGTAAACCTCTGAGGTCCCACCTTTCGCTCATACCAATGGGAGTCGCCCAGCTTGATTCGCAGGAACTGATCAGAGACCATGCAGCTAAGAAGCGGTCCAAAAATGGCTCTCTCCATGGGAGGCTCACTGAGTGCTCCCGTATAGACATCCACATCCTGCGGAGACCTAAACGATAATGAAAACAAACTTTGTGTTACAAATTATATTACTTAGAGAAATCTCTTGAACTCACTCGTATATCTGTCTTATAGAAACCAATGTGGCATTATCCACTGCCTGGGCCATTTGCTCCCACGTGTCCACTGGTGGCAGACGACAGTGTCGTCGGAAGACTGGATACGAGGGAATCCCATGATCGCGTCCCCTCTGTATATTCAAGGACACCAGATCAAGACCGCACAGAGGAACCTTGTCCTCGGCTGGGCCTTCAAAAAGCTTTTGGGTAACCTCTATCGAAAAAAAGCGATCTACCCTCATGACCGGAGTATTCGCTGCCGTCATCAGGGCGTGGTCAATGCCGTGCTCCGCCCACAGGGAGAAGGGATTGAAGAGCATCTTGTGAAGCTCCACAGCTTCAGGACTGCTGTTTTCTCGGGAAACATTGAACAGGCCAGGTAGAAGGGTGTGAGCAAATCGAAAAGCCGCCGCAGCGAAGCAATTGGCTATACTGGGGTCTACCTCCGGGTCATAGGTGTCGGGTGCATTGAGATTATCCTTCTCCGGCAGCAGACCCTTGGCCTCGCTAAGGTTCTTTCCCAGCAGGACGGGCAGGAACTCGTTGTAGGTTATGTGGGCCATCTGGGCGCCGAGTATCTTACGGGCCTCCTGGTACACTCGCTCGTCATCCCAGTGGGGGTTCTGATCCTGCAGCCCCCGAGCCAAAAAGTTGTGGTGCCTGGCCCACAGCAAGTGCATGGAGGTGAGCAGCAAGTTCTCATTAGCTCGATCATCGCCGGACTCGAAGCAGTACTTGCCCTGTCGGGTCATCTGCACCCGGTTGCAGCCATCCGCAGGATTCGAGGAAATGGGGAGCAGCTCCCGACCATCGTCTGTGATGTACATACGCAAAGAACCGTTGATAAAGCTGCGGAGCTGGCTCTGACGTTGCTCCAGATTACCGTACACCACGGATGCGTCCAAAAAAGCCGTCGCCTGGTTCAATTGCATCCGCGGACCGAATCTTCCTGTGGGCGCTGGAGCAGAACGCACAAAGTTCATGCAACTAATGTTGTACTGCTGATAGTACGGATCGTCGGGGAGAATCTCAACCGGGTAGCACTCTGGATGCTGCTTGCGGGTCTCCGGAACGCAGCAATCAATTGACTCGCCCTCCTGTGATGTGGTCAACGACGTGGCCGTGATGTCGTGGTCCATAAACTGGCCAAAAACCGCCAGCATTACGGTGAAGTTCGAATCCGTCTCGTAACTGGAACGATGGATCTTCAGGGACACTTGCCGGGCAGGGGGCAGCCGGCGGCGACCATGGTGACTCTCTCGCGGAGCAGCAATGCCGTCAGCGTAGTCCGGGGACACCATGCGACGGTAGGGAACCATAGAAGCCCCAAAGGTTCTCGGATGTTGTTTGTTGTTACACACACCTGTGGATCGCCTGTAACGAGCGTTGAAGTCGCAATCCAGTCGCAGGACTGTCGGATCCGGCAGGACAATGCGTGGCCCCCAGCCAATGTTGCTGCGACCCGGCTCCTTGCTGTAATTAAATCTCTTGGCGATGTCCATGGTGGCCTGGTTTTCCACATAGCCCCGTCTTGCCAGTTTCCTTGCCTCCGGATTAGTGCTCAAGGAGCGATAGTGCCGAAAGGCGGGTGTGTTCACCTCGTTTGGCTGAAGTCCTTCCTCCAGTATCTCCCGATCTCCCAGGGCCTTTATTCCGGCGCTTACGGCCTGAACGCCCTCCTGATGACCCAGAGCCGCCTGTTGGAGGGCCCAATCTGCCGCCGGCTCGTCTGGCAGCGGTTGGTTTGGCGGCAGTTCACCACCGGTTCCATTGACCACAAAGAAAAAACTGGGACTCCCGTCGGAGCCTCCGAGGGCGTCGCTGAAGACCAGGGCCAAGCAGAGGGCGGCAATTACAATGACACTGCGGGCGGGAAAGTGAAATCACTTTGTGGTCTGGCACATTGTGGTTAAGCGAGACTAAACGTTCACAATGGGCCAACAAGAGGTAACCCAATACCAATACCAAATTGGATGGGGGGGGTGGCCAATCATTTTCCAAATGCCTCTAATTTCTCTTTACTATGTATATGAAGGCAGGAAACATTTAATATTGGGAAGCTTACTATACTCAGGATTGGACTAAAGGATTGGAGAACTTATTTAATTTTGAAAGCAAGTACTGGGGGAAAGGTGCTAAAAATAAACCGCAGATCTATACACTCGCAAAGTATTCCAAAATTCTGTATTATTCTTAGGACCACTCACATAAAAGTAATGCCCATGCAACACTGAAACTGCCGCATCTTGTTGCGACGCGAACGCGGGGAAACACCACCGGGAAAGACGCGGTCAGGTCCTTGGTAGGACCTGGTCGGCTCAGGCGGCAGGACAACGTATCCAGAGCCACCCGCTGCTGCTGTGAGCGGTGTTGTTTCGTCCGTCATGATCAGAGCTAAACTGATGATGCACTCTGGCGGCGACTACCACCAGGGCGACTCTAGAGTAGCGACTACACTTGGCGGGCTTCCGCTGACACTCCGCTCGCCACACTTCACGTACTTTCGCCGGCAGAGCGGCGCAGTGACAAAGCAACTTAGTTTATAATATCTTATAATGCTAGCGTTTGAACGCTAGTGCAACAAAGCTGCCAACTGTCCACCGGCCAAGAACACACCCATCATCTTGAACTCTTAACGTAAGCTTTAATAAAATAGCATGTGCATTGCACGATTAGACCTCCATGTCGTCCAGCTGTCTGTACATTTCGGTCACATACTCGTAGGTCAGCTTCAACAGATACTGGAACGGCTTCTGAAGTGGTAAGTCGCCCAGCTCGACGCTCTCCAGGAAATCCTCCATAGGCGGAAGGAAGCTGTCCGCCTCCTGACCCATCACCTGCGAGATTTCAATAATCTTGAAGAAGAGCAACTTGTGCATATAGTCCACGCCGTTGTTTGGATCGTAGTCCGTCCAGTTATCCCGCTTGATGGCCGCGCACCAGATCTTGTGTCGCATATCGTAGGGTTGCTCTACATAATTGAGAAGTTCCAGAGCCTTTCGGAACTCTGTTTCAGTGGCCGTGTCGTTCTCCTCAGCGATGAACATCTGCAAGGGAGAATATAATTTTAAATATGTCGAATCGGTCAAGAAATCCAAATGGTCTCACATTGATTATTTCCTCTGGCTTGAGAACCTTCTGCTCCGTCGCGTCGAAGCCAAAAGTAGTCAATATGTCATGGCCCAAATGCGCCTGATATTCGACCAGGCTCAGATCCGAATTGATCTTCTCCACCTGCGCCGTCAAGTCCGAGTCGGCAGCCGCAAATGCAGCCAACTTGGCCAGCGACAGCATCGACTTCTTGCGTGACACAAACTCGGTTTCGCACTGGGCCAGTTCGTATAAAACCTTGGCCGCCCGCTCGAAGTCGCCGTTGAATATAAGCTGGATCCAGCCCAGCGACGGGTGGTCGCGCATGAACTGAGCCAGCGCTGTCTGGTTGCCCTTGAAGCGTTCGAAGACCTCTCCGTGCCGGTTCTGGCGCAGGTGCCAGTTAATGGCAAATTGCGAAAAGTCGAATTCTTCGTATTGGCTGGTATATTCATCCAGACGCTCTTTGTCCTGCGTCTCGTCACAAATGACAACCAAACTCTGAAAGTCCAAGTACTTCTCGGCCAGCTTAGCAGCATACTCATACTGCCGATCTTTGACTAAAAATAAAGATTATTTTTAAAACCAAAGATTGGCAAACAGTAAATCAAGTGCTTACTTAAGACTGAAATGAGCTCCCTCCGTTGAGCCTCGAACTGTTGCTGCAGCACATTGAACTTCTCGGAGTCGCGTACGCTCTCCAAGTAGGTCCGACGACCATCCAACACCAAATCCACCAACTCGAATATTTGCTGATACAGCAGATGCTTTAGATCGGTCTCGCTGACGCAGTGACCGCCATAACGCACACTGATATCGATAAGGCGGGTTAGTGTGTCCCGGACACCGGCATTGCCCGCCATCGCTGTCCAAGGAAGATTCTCAAAAGACCCTAGCTTGTCGTTGTGCAGCCTGAAGCTGTTCGCATGCTGCTCCCGATGCCTAAACACCTGTCCCAGGGTGTCCAGCACAATGGAGTTGATGTCGGTGATGAAATGAGCGACAGATACCGTGGACTGACTCTGGGCAGCAATTCGATCATCGGCTATGTCAGCCAAAGCTTCGAATACGTACTGAAACTTGCACAGCTTTACGTAGAATATATCCTGATTAGTCAGACTACCATGTGGCTTCTCGTCCCACACGGCAACGGTGGCATCAATAGCCTCCTCAATCAGCTTGGGAAGTTTGTTCTGCAGGGATCTCAATGCCATGGCAGCCACTATCTTTTCGCATATATCGGATAGTACAAAACTGGTGGGCTTTAGAACATTACTGCCACAGGGTATGGCGTTTAACTATGGAATATTAATCAATGACATTAAAGTGTACTCTTTTTTCATATTAAAACCAAACATACCTTTTCCCAAACACCACTGGAATGCAAGAAGGTGATAAAATGTTGGAAAGCAACGATCTTATCCCTGAGCTGATTGATGATCTGCATAGAACGAGAGCTGCCCAAAGCGTGGCGATGCGAGTCCTGATCGGTTACAGCCTCCTCCCAACGGGGATCGGCTATTGGCAAGTCTTCTGCCAAATCCTCAGCTATGGTGATTACTATTCTGTCCAGCTTGTACGCATCCAAAGGCGCTCCAGTGCGATCGAAGTCAGAGATGGTGCGCATCATATCGCCGACAATGGTTTTGGCCATGTTGTTGTTACGTTTCAATTGGTAGAGGAAGGCAGCCTTCAACTGGCCAACCTCGTCGCACAGCTCATTATACACATCATCCGGATCTAACTCAAACATGTGCAGATTATTGGTGCTCCCTGAAAGCCCACTTTGATCCGCTAAGCCCCCAAAGCTGGCGTTGAAGGAGGCGGGAGCGAACAGGTCTGGCGTGTTGCAGGAGCTCATGTTCAGCAACTCTGTGCCATCAAAATCTCCAGGTGTGATGGAAACTAATCCATGGGTGCGGCTGAAAAATAGCGGTAAGTGACTACAGATGGCCGCGCTCAAAATTCTGTCGTCGTGCAAATGGAACTCGATCTTCTCCGCTTCCAATTCTGCTGTGGGCACTGCGTTAGTCAAATGCAGGGGATATACTACTTTCGGTGTGTACAAGTATATGTGACCACTTCCCACTACAAATCGCAAACTCAGGCAGTCCTCCTCGGATTTTGGGCTATAGAACTTTGTAATTTTAAGTGGTGTGAATGACTCCAGGACCACGGACTCCGCCTGTGGACTGGTCACGACTGAAAACAATTTAATGATGAAATTTATACATCCCCCTTCTAGTTTTCTAGACTGTGTCCAACTTACCAAGTGCGTAGCACATTTGAGGAGCATGAGCTGCATTTACAGCTCCTGCAAGAATGTAGGACTTATTTTTAACCACATGAAAATCTAGCAAATGCATATCAATCTCTAGGTTGTCAGCCGGCAAACGAACGTTCCAGAACTTTTGTTTGAATTCATCGCGTATTCTTCGCACAATCTCCCCGTCCTCGTAGATGAGGTTTTCGGCATTGCCCTTGTTGGTGAGACTCCAACGCTGAATCGCTCTGTCGGAGAGCACAGCTACAACAGTTTCCCCATCTGCAGAATTGCTTTCGCAGCACATGCCCACTAGGACCTGAAAGACATTTATGTTACTAAGATTGAGGAATTAAGGCCATGCGCCGGATCTTACTTGATCTTTGTCACCTCCAGTATTCATGCCAATCAAAATTGACGCAAATTTCTTGCCAAAACCTCCCAATATACTAGTCGCTGGCTTAATTGTCTTATGGTGGAGTGTGTAGCGTCCATTGGTGAGCCCTACGCGTAGAAAGACCAAATTGCAAGTAGTCGTTACAGCCAGGTATCCTTGTTGCTTTGGAAGATTGAGTAACTGAACGAATTCCTGGCCAGTTAGGATCGAAAGATCCACAGAGTTTCCATCGTGGGCAATGGACGACCAGTAGCGCACATCTCCGGTAGCCGAAACGGATATACAAGAGGCCATTTGCTGACCTTCGGTTTGGAATACGCTAACCAACTCGCTTTTGTGACCCAAATCGCTGTAAGGGAGGGTTAACTCTCGGCACTGTGCCAAACCACCAGCCCTTCTACCTGGGGGTTTGTTAGCACGAGGCGGCGATCCTGTCTTGCTTTGATCTTTGTACTGCCATATGAGGAGACGGCGGCCTTGGACAACCTAAACAATGGAAATATTAGAAGTTTGCCTCCGAATGTTATTCATATAGTTTATTCATTACCCAAGCCCAGCCATTTTGGGCAACTTTGGCGGTAACCGTAGCAGATCCTGCTCCTGCAAAAGTCAGTGCTTCATTCACCACCACGGGTAGTGGGCAACCATAGCTCTCCACCACATTGTAATCGGATCGGATTCCAGGTATAGACTGCGTCGAGCGTATGGATAAGCTGTGTCGACTTTAAGGCGAAGATTATGAATTTTGTATTACATTTGGGGCATATTTAAACGTACCTGTTGCTTAGGGCAGTCTTTTTAAGGTTTGTAGACAACTGAGCACTGCTAGCGTTGCCGCCAAAAAAGGATTTTCTCGTGCTGTCCGCCGTAGGGCCGGTCGGCATGCTGTAGCGGCGCAGCCCCGGAGACGACTCTCTCGAAAATCCGTACAGTTGCTTTTGCATATTCCTTTCCATGTTTTTATTTAGAGGTTTATTTAAATGCCAATTAACAAGAATTTATATACTTTCGCGATAGTAAACAATTTGACCGGCAAACAGCATATGGTTGAGACGATAACGATGGCACAGAAATTGGTGGTGGAAGAGTATAAGCAGCTACCTGTTATCGATATTAGAATTTTTAAGTCGTCGTGCTATAACTTTTCAAAAATGTTTTGAAATGAAGCTTATAAATATTCCTTTTATCTATTTTTTTAAGAATTATTGAATTTATTGCCAAAGCCGTTGCCATAAATTAGTTTCTATCTTCGTGACCTGCCATTTACCATCTCTATTGGAGGTCGCACGAGAATTTCACATAATTTGGTAAACAAAACGAAAAAGCTAATTTGAATGGCCACCTGGACACAAAATGAGCCAACAGGCGTCACCAAGCGACGCCGTTGGAACCTCGAAGGTAAACTCACAAATTACATTCTATTACAAAAGGTCGGAGTTAATAAATTCCTTTCAGATCGTGCGTCTCTCAACAAACTTAAGCATCACATTGCCGAGGAAGGATGCCCTCAAACGCAGTACGACCTGGCCAAAGAACTGCTCCAAAATGCCATAGGTAAGTGATTTTCTATGTAGGTGATGCCTTTTTTATAAAGTATGGATTCTGCAGAACCCAATCTTGCCAATGGAAACCAAAACCAGAAGGCAGTTAACTGGCTGGTTAGCGCAGCACACAATGGGCACGAGGAGGCCGCCAAATTGCTGCAACAGTGCTACAACAATGGCAGTGGTATTACGCCAGAGAATTCAGATGAAGTGCGTCGATGCCTGGCCATGACTCCTGGTGAACGGGCAGCAAGAAAAGCAGCCCGGGAGCTCTTTGCTTGTCTGTCAAACGGTAACGAGCACATAACGCCCAAGCAGCTAGAACGAAAAATGAGACGCATCTATAACATGCAACGCAAACGTCGCCGACGCGGTGACGATCGTTCTTCATCAAGTAGCGACGAGGAGACTGAACGGGAGCCCGAATGTGAACCACTCGAGGACAGGGCTACCATTGGTCTGTCCAATGTGGGGCGACGACGTTTTATAACCGAGGATCATTTGGTTTCCGCTGCGTCTAACTACAGTGCTGGACAAATGCCCAGTGTAAATGAGGCGCTGACCCTATCGGTGCCGGACCCGCGGAGTCTAGATCATGTGCCCTGCTTCTACCGCATGATATTCCACCCGCTCATCTTCTTAACACTCCTGTACCACCGCCTACTCAACGTGATTGTGTCCATTCCCAACGTTATACCTCTAAGTGTGCGTTGTAGCATTCTGGTGGCTCTCTCCTGGTGGAGCACCCGTCACATGCTTCCCTTAGTTAGCTACTACGTCAGCTTAGGGGTCATGATATGGGCCACCTGCAAGATGCTAAAGACCAAGCAGCAGTTTGTGGACTTCCGGATCTGGTCGGGGCTGTTCCTCAGCTACGGTGATAATAATATCGAAGCGGATATCGCGGAGCAGAGGTTTCTGCGGAACAACATGAAACCGTACCTGTATTACTTTTGTGCCTTCATTTGCAACCTGATTGTGTATCCCTTGGTCACTGACGCCTGGCTACCGCACTCTGAACTAACCATCCTCTCTGGAGCTTTTACCTTCCTTACCATGGGAGTGGCAATGTATGCATCATCCCACCTGTTTCCCGATTGGCTGGTGATTGTGTCCTTTGCTGTTAACGTGCTGGCCAAGTATCCTTACGAAATGGACGAGGTGGTCTCTACCCGCTGGCGCTTCTTGGACCTACGTGTGCCCACCTTTTCTTCGTTTGTCATTGGAAATGGCATTGAATTTTGCTTGAACTGCCGTACGGCATTGTACCTCTTCATTCCAGTGCTCCTGATAATGATGGCCAAGCGTTCCCGCTGGCACGGGGTGTATACCTACCTTATTCCGCACTGCGTTACTCTCAGCTGGCTGCAGGTATGCATCGCTACTTCACAAAGCGCCACCATGTTTGGAGTCATGCGGGCGGCCTTGGGCTTGGCCGGGATTGTCCTGTTCCTGCCACTATTTGGAATTGTCGCTCTACTGGTACCTGTTTTCGTCGCCATCGATAGTCTGGGCCTGGCCAGCGAGCAACTGCGTTGGGGTAGCACTGCCATCACGTGTGGCTTAGTGGTAGTTCTATCCTGTGTCCTAGCGTTGAATCGCGCCACCCAAAAGTATATCACCATGCTACAGGTGAGTCACCGGTCAAGATTAATTTGTAACTGAGAGTAATACCGAAAATAATCTTTCAGCTTATTATGGCCGTCACCACAGCCTGTGTCTTGGTCTTTCCGTACATGACGTCCAACTTTAAGGACACACCACGCTTCAATGCTATGCCCAGGGCGGGACTTCATTCGATGGAAACCCTGCAGTGGGATCGTTTTTATTCACTATGCGCCCAACCAGTCTACGAACAACCAAACAAGATAAAAACCCAACTTAGATGCGCTCACCTTAATGGAGTACCTGTCACCTGGGAGGGCAGCATTTCCAAAGTGGAAATCTCCAAGGTAACCAACATGCTGGAGGATGTAATTGCCAACTATCTTCCTGTGTGGCTGGCTAGGATTATGCGGTGTGTTTACGGAGAGAACATTTCGCAGCACTTCCAGTGCGATCCCAAGTCGGATGCCCAATGCGAGGAGTGGCAAAGAGTTCTCAAAGCGTTAAAGGCGGAGAGCGGAAGTTGCACTCTACACCGCTGGAATCGCTACGAATACGAGCTTCTCTTGAAAGTCGGCACCAACAACGGAGGTCGTTTATTAGGCCGCTGTACCACCAGCAACGTAATTCTGCGAGCCCACCATGACTTTGGAAACTTTACAAAACTCCTTCACGAAGGCGATAAGGTTCTCTTCTACGGAACCCTGCAAAATTCTCGACTTTTATCCGATAGTGTGCAGGTGCAGCTAAAGACAATCGAGTGTGTCAACTGCCAGTCCAAAAATCTCCGCAGGGCGAGCATCGAACGGGCTGTGGCTGCTTCCCCAATGGATGCCCGTCTCCAGGATTTGATGAGGGGCATAAAATACTTGTTAAACGCTTTGTTAAATCCCTTGATTACTTTTAAGTAAGCCTAAAATGCTCTCTCCAAATAAATGTATTAAAACTAGATTTAATCTAAAAGTATTTGTTTTATTTTTAGACATTTTTACAGGTGCGATATTTTTTAAATAATATTAGAAAATACCGCTAGAAGCAGTTGGTTGCTGCCATTATTTATCAGTTTTATTTAAATATAATACAAGGCACAAATAGTTGCTTTATCATTAAACAATTTGTATTCTAGTCAAGAATTATAAAGTCCTCATCATCCTCTGATGTGCAATCTTGTACTTCCGATTCGAATTGACAGGTTATGTCATCGAAAGTGTGGGTTATATGATCTACGCACGGCACGTGGCGACGTATTACTTGGGGACAGGTTAAGTTCATCATGTTAGCCTTGACCGCCGCACAAATTTGGGCATTAAGGGTTGAGATTCGTGCAGATTCCTCATTTTTCGAATAAAAAATTGACTTTGAAAATACTGGAATCCCGGATTTCTTAAAATTGGAAGCTGGCTTTGAAAATGGTGACAGGACATTGCGTTCCTTCTCGACCGTGTTAGTATCGAAAAATTCAAAGTCATCCGGGCTTTTCCTGGCAAATACCATTTCCTGCATCCCAATGGGCACTTCCTCCATCTGCGCATCGGTGTGGTTGTGTGGCTCCAAGCACACAAAGCTCTCCGGGCAATTTATCAATAACTGGACACCGTCTAGTAGAAGCTTCCGGTGAGAGTAATCCTCCACGCCAATCATAACCAGATCGCTAAGCACTATTTTCTGGCAGGTTTCGATGGTGTCGTATCCTCGTTCCAGGAACTTCCCGATATACTTCTCCATTGTGAGCAGAACCAGCCATTCGCGCACCGCACATGGACACATTTTAATTTTTAAGTTCTATGGAGCGGTCAGAAAATTTCTCCACAAAACTCGCAACTCACTTTTGGCGTTACCGTTTTGGCAGCGTAGACGGTATAACAAATTCCTTTTGAAATAAGGTTATGAAAAAATTTTCAGAGAAGTTTCAAAGCTAACTGTTTTCTAGAAATATATCGAAAATATTAAAAAAGAAAAAGGTGGTTTTAGCCAAAATTTTAAGTAAACTAAGAAAGTTATATACTTCTCAACTGTCCAAAAAACGTAAGCTCTTAAATTCGAACCGGGTGAATCGGGTAGCTGACTTTGGCGGCAACTCAAATTCATATTCAGGGTTGCCGAAAATCTTAAAAACTATCGTTTCAATAAAACGTCATTATTGTCATGAAAAACTATAGATGATTTTAAACCATCAGATTAAATTATAGATAATATAAGCCATGTTTATTTAATACAAATTCATAATCTTGCCGATAACATTTATAATAAATGCTAGATGTAAAATATTAAACAAAATGATGAAATGATGATCTACTATATAATTTAGAATCAGGAACTGAAGTAAATTAATTTAAGTAAGAACGTTTTTTTATAACTTTTATAAAATCAATTTTGTTAAAAACTATCGGACAAAAGCACAGTTTTGGGTAATTTCCCAACACTCGCCTACTATTTACTATCTACAAACCTGCAGCTGGCTATTTAAGTGGCCAGACTCTCGTCTCTCGAAACACTCGCGATTCACCCACCTGAGAACACACCTGAGAGGGTGCACTATCGAAAACGCAGACCCGCAGATCCCCGAACACTTTGCAAGTACCAAAAAAGGAAAACAGTGTCACCATGATACCCACAATAACGAAGAACTACCAGAATGTGGTGATCAGCACGGGAAACATGCTGGAAATCACCAACGAATTGGGCCAGCGCAAGTCCAACGAGGAGCTCTACGACGGCCTAAAGGTAACCCTCCACAGCGACCCTAGCGAGGAGCGCGTGGTGGTCGAAGTGGAGATAGACGAGACGCACGGCCGTGTGCAGAGGGCCACCCAGGAGCTCAACAGCCGACTCACGGAGAACGGGCGCAACGAGATCAGTATTGGCGCCAAGATATTCCTCAACCGGAACTCAAGGGAGTACGCTCAGCAGGCCGTAGAAGCTCTGCTCAACATACTTAATGTGACGCACGTGGACAATGTGGTGCTGGCATACCACCCGAACGTGAACAGCGTTGCCAACGCAACGGCAACGGCCACAACATCGACGGCGGTCAAATCTCCCTGCTCCGAGGGCAGCACCGTTCCTTCCACCGCCAGCAACTGGAGCTTGAAGAACGGTGCCCAAGGAGTAGCTGAACTGAAGGAACTCTACCAGTCACTGGAACAATATGCTCTCAAGCAAAAAATCACACAGCTGGGCATCGCCGATCTGGACGCCGCTGCACTGGAGGAACTGCACAAATCTGCCCAGGTTGCTCCTACCATTGCCCAGGTCAATCTGTCCACCTGCTGTGTGGTGCCGCCGGAGCTTCAGGAGTTCTGCGCTGCCCACGACATCCAGTTGAACACGCACAGCGATCCGGAGCAGCTATTGCAGGACGAGCAGTTCTCTGGACTGGCACCCGGCTACTCTATCGACTGGTCTCTGCGCTACCAAGTGCACGTCCGCTGCCGAGGCGTTCTCACCGCCAAGGGCTATATCGTCGGAGCCTCCCGGTCGAGTGCTTAGATTTATTATACCCGATCAGATGCTAGGCTATAGTTTTTATGTTTTTTATGTATGTATACTGTGTGTAGTTGTGTACTTATTGTTTGTTATACAAAACCGCCATTGATTGATTTTATTGTAAACGATTTTTCGAACCTATTCAGAACATAAAGCGTTTCAAAAACGGCAGCTATTCTGTGTCATTCGCTTCCAGTTGGGGTCACAGTCAGCGGTGGCGATTCCCCCCGAACCGGTTTGGCTCGCTGGTAAATTAAGTATACGTCCAGTGGCTGTAATTGGAATGCTCAGACAATTGCAGGCCAGCTGTGTCTGGCGATTTCCTTGTGGCAGTGGCAGCGGTCTGCTCGTTATTTTTCTTGGTAGGCAAATCTAATTAAAGGCAGACGCGTCTCGCCCGGCGACCCATCCAGATCACGTGGCTGACCCGCTTTTCGATGCGACAACCAGCCGGAGAAGTCGAAGGGGGAAAGAACCCCTCAGCTGATTAGAATATTGTATATAGCGGGAGATATATTAAATATATAGCTGCTGATTTAGATGCTATCAGGCCATAAATCCCGACAAGACGGGGCTAATAATAATTTTGGAAAAAATACTATACTTGTATTAACAAAAGTAAAGGGGTGTCTGATAATCAGCGCCCGAAAATTTACAAGTGCCGTATACCGCTGGAGTGAGCTAAGATTGGAAATTGGTTCCAAGGTGTGAGGTGTGAGGTGAGGTTCTGTAAGTGGGCCATTTAATTGCCAACTGGAGGAAGTTCGTGGACAAATGGTTTATTAATGAGCCTTGATGGATGGAGAAGGGGCAGCTGCCCTAACCGAACTTGTAATTTGAGGCCAAAGTTCAAGGACCATGTGCTCGCTTCTAATATGTATCTTTATAAAAGTACTCGAACACACAAAAACAGAGAGATATGTGGTGGAAAAATAATAGACAAACAGTCAGTACTCTTATCGGAGCTCTGACTCTCCCACAACGATGACTCGTGTGTTTTCAAAATCCGACATTTCGAAAAAAAAGAGAGGGAGACTAATAAAGAGCGCTAGTGATTCAAAATAACTTGTTTGCCGATCTTTACAGCTCCGGGGCCTGTTTCGTCACAAAATGGTATTCTATTCTCCGGTACAGACAAACTCCCGCGATGACGCATCGTCCTCCAAAATAAACGCTAGCAACATGTTGCCGCAACAAGTGGAAAGAAGGCTCTCGAATGTAGTACATTGCGAGGTGCCTCTCCAGGCACTGCGGGTATCTGGTGAAATGACATTGCCACACATATCGGGCGTAATCAGCTCCTTATCAGTATTAGTAATATTTTTGCTGGCTTATTAGAAGGCAAAACCGCATCCAAGTGCAGTCGGTTGATAAGCGCTTAGTTGATCACCAGGGCGTATACGTAACGAGTGGCCATAAACCGTATCCATTTTAAAGCACATCCGTCATTATGTTCCGGCTGAGCTGAGCCGAATGATTTAGCAATTTTCTGACTATCATACTCATTAATATCCAGTATCTGAGCTCCAGAAAATTCCACAGAGCCCCCCCATTAACAAAGCAAAAACCCAATTTTTTTTTGTGATTACACCATAACAATTGTTGAGTCTTTATTAAGTTAATTAAATATTCTTTGAATTCTTCCGTTCTCAGACACTATCCTTAGCAAATCTAGTGGCCTTTCGCAACGCACAAGACATACTATCTGCCAACAATGTTCGCTTAGTTAATCGTTTATTTTGGTTTTCAAGTAGTATATGCTTTAGCAGTTAACACACACCAATAATGTACACGGGGAATCGATAATGAATGTACTGAGTTTAACTGGGTAGCTCTTCCCATTTCTATATCTATGTATATTAGTAATTTCAGGAATTGTCTGCGTTGATGTGTTTTTGGTGTCCTCGCGGAAAGACTACAATATTAATCGTACAATGCGTTTGGTTGGCTACATTTACACTCCCATTAACAATTAGCTACAATTAGATTGCATCGTAAAAACTAATCTCACTAGATCGCAATTCAAAATAATACTCTGTATAATTTAGCTGCATTCGAAAAGCAACGCTCTCGGCTGGGGACGGACGCTGTCTGACAATTGAAATCGTTTAATTGGCATTCCGACATTAACAAACTAAAAACTGGCGGACACTCAATGTCAGTTTGGAACTTGTTTGCATTCGTTCGTTGTTCGTTCGACCATTCCGGGGACCATTCAAATATAATCGAATCGAATCGAGGCAATTGGGTGGATGCATTTTGGGTGGCTGTAACACGATTTTGAAACCGGGCTTTTTGTTTCTGTGGCAGAACGAAATGGGCCAAATGGATTGAAAGGAGGGGCGGTAGTATTTGCGGTCAAAACTTAACTACATTCGTTGCTGTTCTGCGAGCCCTAGGACTGGTAAACCATAGAGTAAAAATGTATCAAAATCGCCTGTGTCGTCGTCTCAAAACAAGTGAAAACGTACAAAAATCGTTTGTTTTGTTTGTTTGGTCGAAGACATCTTAAATAGTTCGATATCTTGTATGGACTCTGTGTTGCACATCTTTCTTCTAAAGTAATTGTTCTCGTCTACCATAGTTTCTCATAAGATTCAAAATGTAATGTATACATACGTTCTTCTCACGACCCCGAGTTCAATCTAAATTCGACTTGTCGTCCAACGGAAATCAACTAATTTTTGGGACATGAGCTTGACGATGAGACTACTTTCCGTCGCCTACGGATTCACAACGAATATCTCAAGAATTTTCGCTAATTTACTTATGGTATTTTCTATTGAAAGAGAATAGATTAGTGTAGTTATTCATAGACACATACGGCCATGCATTGTGCGATAGCCTGGTTAATAGAATCGTTTCTAAGTGGGTCAAGTGGGGGTGGACATGGAATTTCTGTGGTTAGAAGCTCGGTGAGCATTGCTGAGTGGATTAGATAGGGTCCGGGTTCGGGTCTGAGCCGGGACTTGGGGTTTTTTTTTTCTACGCTTATATTTAGAAAGTTTAATTTGCAGATTTTTTCAACTCTTGTTGTGCCAATATATTTTTAAAAAATATTTTCAGTATTCGTTATCATTTTGTTGGTGTGATTTTTTTTGTACATGCTAATCTTAAGTATTTCTTTAATTCAAGGAAATTGTAACTTTCAAGAACACAGACATATAGACACACACACGTCAAGACATCAAGAGTGACACTTAAAATGCATATTGACATCTTTTCTGTTGAGTTTCGCCTTTGGTTACTTGTGTTTCCTTTTAGTTTTTAATTTTTACCAATTTAACATTTAGATCAAAAGTGTGCCCCTAAAAAATTCCACAAAAATACAATCAAAACATTTTGTTTACTAAACTACAAAATACATATACAATAAAATACATTGATGCACGCGTAATATCTAGTATATATAACATACATTCTATTTATGTAGGGATGTAACCTTCTTTACTTTATAACAACTAACAACAATCTTCATTTTTTTTAATCTGATTCGCGCTTTCGAGTGGGTCTATGATAAGGTAATGTCGGATGTATAACTACTCAAAATATAATACCATTTCAAATACAATTTCATCAGTTGCCGGTGCGGCATACCTAGGTAATTCAGTCTAATTCGGGAATTGGTCAATGATCATTGGGGAAGTTGGAGCTTTGGAGTGGGGGATCCAAAAACCGAAACGTAAGAAACAAAGCTAAAGCATCCAAACTTAAACCTCTGGGGTATTTAGATCAAATGCGACTTCCGGTTGGAGTGCTCAATGGCGGCCAGCAGCTCGTGCTTCATGCGAACGTAGAGGCGTCCCTTCTTCCACGGATTCTGCAGCTGCAAGGGCTTGAAGTCGTCCCGCAGGCATCGTTCCCGCGCTCCAATCACCGCCACCAGGCAGAAGTTCTCCAGCATCTCTGGCCCGTAGATGGGCCCGTTGTTGCCTTTGAGCACCACGGCCATGTTGAGCTGCTTCACCACCAGGTTGATCACTTCACGGGCCGTCGTCTTGGGGGTCACGTGCAGCTTGAGACTGGTTCCGCTAGCCAGGCCAGTGTTGTAGGCGGTGTACACTTGGATGATGCCCGATGTCTGCTCCGCATTGAGGCTGGAACAGCTCGCCGAGTCCTCCTCGCTGCTCTGCCTGGAGAGACTTTTGGTGGACGAGGCTTTCGATGTGCTAGCCACCGGCTCTTCGCCACCCACTGCCCTCAGCTCGGCCAGTGTGCTCTTCAAGTACGGTCCACCTTCGCGCAGATTCGCACTCGAGGCCGCCTTAGTGGCGGGCTTCAGGGGTTTATGCTCCAGGTCCGTGGCGAAGGCTCCGTTTCCACTCCTCAGCGAGACACTGGATCCTGCCAGGTACGGCGCCGAACTGGAGCTGTGCACCGTGATGAGCGGAGTGGGGTGGGATCCTATATTTGAGCTGGTACGCTTCCGCTGAGCAGCCACGGTCTGCGAATGTCGCAGTGCATCCGCAAGGGTATCATCGGAGCGCGAGGGCGGAATGGCAAATACACTATTCGTGCTATTCCCCTCTGAGGCAGAGTCCACGGCGGAGTAGAAGCTGCGCGCCGTGTACGTAGAGCTCATGGAGTCGCCGCTATTCTTCCGCAAGGACACATCCGAGCACATGGAGCCCGCGTACTCGCTGGTGGTGGAAACTTGCAGGAGCTGTTGTGGTGGCTGTTGCTGCTGCTGGGGATGCTGAATCTGCTTGGCAGAAGGTTCCACCGGGGTGATAGCAGTTAATCCCAGATTCTGTTCGGATTTCGAGTGCTCTGGCTTGGACTGCGCCTGATCCTCGCTAGTGCCAGGTCCGGGCCAGCTGCCTCGTCCCGTTCCTGCCTTGGTGAATTTACTCTCGCGAATGGGAAGCTGGAGGAGCTGCTTGCTGGCGGAGTTGGCCACTGTGGACTCTTCCTGCCGCTGCTGGGTAAAGTCCAGGATCTCTCGCATGGCCAGAGAGGGCTGGGCGCTTTTGTTTCGTGCGTAGGCAACCACGTCCATTAGCCAGCGCACACTCTTCCAGACCAGCGTCAGGCTTGTAGTTAGTTCTTGCAGGGTGGCCAGTCGCTCCTTGGCCGCCTGGAGCTCGCTGCTGGAGAAGGCTTCCCGGAGAGCGTGAGTGGCCAGCCCAGTGTCCAGGTCCAGGATGCAGGAAAGGCGGGCGTACTTTTGTATAATCGCGGGCTGGTAGGTGCGCAGGTGGATCATTTCGAACGCCTGAATGCTCAAGCTTGCCAGGTCGTCTCTTTGGAGCAGCAGCTCCGACTGGCCAGGCACGGCGCAGGAGGCTTCGGCCGAGGGACAGACCACAAGGAAACTAATATCCGGACTCTGCTCGATCACCTCGACGTCGTACAGGCGGTGGGTGGCCGCATCCGCAGGCTTGATGTTCATGCTGGCAAACAGTTTGTGCATGGCATTGGTGAGATCGTAGAGGAACAGGCGCTGAACCTCCGTCGTGGCGGCTCCGGCAGCTGCTTCCTTCTCGTGGGCGCTGAAGTCCAACGGCAAGCGAAGAGGGTCACCGCTGCAGCGGTGGAGCACCTGCCATTCCTCGGCCGTGATGTGGCTGTTCTCGCGCACCTTGCAGTGAGGCAGGACATTGGGTGTCTTCACCGGTACCACCACTTGGATCTGGTCCATGGAGCATTGCATTTTCAGGTAGCCCAGATAGAGACCGGGTTCTAGGCGCTGCAGTGCAGCCTGCTGGTAGTGCAACTGATCTCCAATCGATGATATCAACAGTTCATTGATGGTGTAGTCCTCGTGCAGGGCTCCCAGCTTCTTCTGTAGTTTGCTGACTGGCAGCCACCGAGAATTGAGGATGGATACGGCTTTCTGGCTCTTCACCGACTGCACGCATGTGAGCACCACAGTGCCCTGGGCATCCCTCAGCGGCTTGTAGTACAGCTGGCCCAGATCCGTGAAGCCGAGGGCGTTTTGCATCTGGCAGACGGCCGACAAGAGCTTCGTGCGGAAGTGAACGGCGGAGGTGAGATTCCGCTCCATGTCGGTCCGAAGCGACTTTACATCGTCCCAGGTGCAGGCCACCTTCATCAGCCAGTAGTAGTCCATGTGCAGGGCACTGGGATAGGTCTCGTCCACCTCGATGACGGGCGGGAAGTCCTCACTAGTCACCAGCACCTTGTCGTCGCACTGGACGATGCAGGAAAAGTAAATGCCACTATTCGGAAAAAGAGGTTTAAAATCGATTCCATTATTTATATCCCAATCCTACTCACCGTCTCAGAGTTTTTTGGAACTTGGAGGTCACCGAGAATAGCTGCTTGATGGTGGTTTTCTTTTTCGGGTTGCGACGTTGGCCACTCGTGGGATCCAGAGTCAGCTCGGAGACATCGGCGGGTCGGGCCAGGCGCACGGCGGTAAACAGATTGTCCAGGATGCGGTGACGGCCCACAAAACGGTCCTCCCGATTGTCCAAGTCCCGCCAGGCTGTTCACAAAAGTGTAAAAACATTTATATGCCGTTTGCTTCGACCATAAATCATGAAACTCACTCGAGGGCACCACGCTGGCGGGCACCGAAGTTCGGTAGGCGCCCCATCCCTTGACGTTGCCGCAGGCTGCGCGCAGAAAGTAGCGCCGTCCCTGGGTCAGGCCCGATATGTGGCACTGGGCACCCATTGTGCCGTGAAAGCTGACCCACTCCAGCAGCTCGCTCTCGCCCACGACGTTGTTGAAGTCCGCGCGGGTTGACCATTGAACTGTAAATGAAAACACTCCGATTATGAACCTAACTAACTTTTAAAAATAGGTCTCTACATTTTCCCCAAAACTCATATTAAACCGTGTTTGAGGCGGAAAACCAAGACTTGGAAATGTTTCCCCACAAAGTCGACTTCTTTTCATTAATTCATGAGGAAACCCTTCCGGAGCGCTTAATATTAAATGACAAGGCGTGGAGTGGTCCTACAATTGGTTTCCAGGAAAACAAACCCACTCAACCCGACCTGTCCTAAACCCACAACCTGCTCTCCAAATCAGGATGTGGGTTTACCGCAGCCTGGTGGCCTAACCCCAATCACAAGCACCATTCCAATCCGCTGCCTGGCGACAGCCACAGCTCTTGGCGGCAAACACTGCTTGTGGCTTACCTTTGAATTTCGTGCCGATGGCTCCCTCAAAGGGTTCCAGGATTTGGACGCTGATTGAGTTGTCGCCGGTGACGTCGACGACCACAGAGGCGGGTGCATCTGGCGGCCTGGCCTGATCCCAGCCGAGCTGCAGGCGGCGCAGTCCCTTCACCCGTCGCTCCCAGATGCCAATCTGCTTCTCCACCTCGCTGCCCGTGCACCCGGTGACCGAGGCACTCGAGTTGCCTGCAGAGTAAATTAGAGTTACCAATTAAGTGCTCCTCTAAATTGGCCACGATGGCCACTCACCAATTATGATGCTCGAGATGGAGGGGCGCGATGCAAAGATGGGGGGGCACAGGCCCTCCGGTCCACTCAGATCGTGGATGCGGGACTCGGCGTCCTTGAGCAGGCCGTTCAGTTTGGTGCCGATGGTGTCCACGGAGACTGCAATTGAAATTGATCGGTTAAAAGAGCAATCGGAGCGCACACTCGACATTCATTTACATTGAGAGCCCTCTATGGCGCCGTGCTGGAGGAGCATCCTGGTCATGGAGCGGTTATTGCTTAGAACTGCCAGGTCCAGGGCGGAGAGACCGTCGCTGTTGATGCTGTAAGAATTTATTGTATAACTTTTGTACCAAACATATAGATCTTAAAGCTTACCTGTTCACATCCACATCGGTGGATTCTAGGATGGTGCGCGCCTTCTCCAGGTGGCCGTGTTCCACCGCCGAGAACAGAGCTGCGAATAGTTTTTGGAAAGGGTAAGTACTTCCATTTAAGTTGAAGAGAAAACCTTAAATCTAATTAGTTTTAGTGGCGATGCGTGCCATTAAGTTGGAATGCTCTAAGAGTTGCAAAAACCATACCATGCAGGTGCAGATTGCTCTGCGTCAGCTTATCCAGCTGGGCTTGGGCCAGCTTCAGCTGTTTCTTGGACATCTTACTGCCTCGCGGATGGGGGGTGTTCCCGGGGTTCTTGCTTCGCAGCTGCACTGGCTGCCTGTGCACCGACAGCTGCTGGCCGTTGGCGGATGCGTTCTCATCTCCGGCCCCCAGGGTCGGGGAGTCGGGCGACGAGGACCCGGTGTCCTCGTGGTCATCCCGCAGCTTGGCGTTCTTGGGCTGGGAGTGCCGCGAAATGCAGAGCTGCGACTGGGACTGAGCGTGGGATGGCGCGTCGGATCGCGCCTGGGGCAGGAGGAATTCCATTTCCTTGAGATCCTGTGACTGGCAGGAGATGGCGGTGCGAATCTTGGCTACCGTGGCATGTTGGGTCAGCTGCTCTGACCAGCGGCTAGTGGAGAGCAGCGGCGCCGGGTAGTAGGTGGGATAGGTGTCCTCGTTATTGTTATTTCCGGCGCTCGTAATTTCACGCTTCTCACGCAACTTAACGCTATCGATGTCACTGTCGCTGTCACGTTTATCTCTGGGCAATATATTGTCTGCACCGCCGATTGAGAGCAATAATAAAAATAAATAAGGGAAATCAAATTGAATGCAAAATGAAAATCAAATAAAAATTAAATAGAAATTAAGCTCGGAGGTTCGGAGGGTAAATATTTACAATGCATGGCGATGAATGGCCAGGAGCACCACGAATAGGTAAGTTTGTGTGTTTTGTGAGAGCGAGAACGTAATTTAATTACAATAATAGCTGTGTTGCGGGTTCGCTGCTGCGAATGCGATTAATTAAATATTAAACATAAATGCCGTTTCTCCTATTCAGCCCGACATTGTTCTATGCAATCCGGAATGCCACCGGACAACCAAAGCCAATTAAATTAATTATGCACAAACCGTTGTGGATGCAAGTTATTGCGGGAGTGTTGGAGTGTGGAATGTGTGGTTGTGTTAAGTGATTCGACCATGCAACGCGATAAAAGCAGCCAACCCACCTGCACCTCATCCTGAGTCCGATCCCCAAACCCAAGCCAGCAAAACCCACGGAGATGTTAGCGAATCCGCCCACCCACCAAAAAAACATGAGAATACTCTCTTAATTCTTAAATGATTCAACTGGAAATAGTTTTAAAGTAATATTAAATCTTGAAACGGAATCATTCTTAAGAGGAACATTGTATTCTCGGATGGTTTTTCTGAGTGAAGCCCACTTTAATTGGCGTTAATTCTTTAGTTTCAGTTGCAGTTCTGTACAGCAGATATACCATTTATTATGGCTGTGGGTTGTGTGAGAAAATGATGATGAATGTGGCCCAGTTAATTACCCCTCATGGGGGCATCGATGGAATACGGGTTAAGGGCAAATAGAGAACTACCGATCTCTCTTACCATCGATGGCATAGTGGCTATGGCGACGCTGTCGTTGCGCCGAGGATGCCGACAAGGATGACGATGACGAGCTGGCCTGGTGGTGACGCTGATGATGATGGGGGGACACTTTCAATTGACAGAACCTGGTCAGCTCGTTGAGTGTGTGAAACGATTTCTGGCGGACGAAGACCGCCGGCGAGCGCAGGCAACTGCTCATGGGCAGCTTCTGCGGCGTGTTGGGGATTTTATTGCTATCGCTCTGGTAGCATCTGGAAGAGCACACAACATTAACGACCCGATTTGGCCATGGATTAAGCCAGTTTACGTCGACTGCACATGTGTCTGTGTATCTATGTATTAATGCACGCTCATGAAATGAATATTCATCCCCGTCTCCCACTCCCTCTACGGGCTTCGCTTCTTCGAAATGGCAAAGAAAAATGCAAACGAGTTGCTAGGAAATGGCTTTTGTGATATAATGATTATTCACGGAGTATCTGGCCAGGGAAACCCTACCCTTCCTATGAATACACACACGGCTGCTGATGTCTTCCTTTCGAAATAGTTCGTTGACCTACTTCTGAGGCATAAAACCTCAAATCCAAACCTGATGGGTGTGTTGAAATGAATGGGTCCAATAAAATGTTGGAGCCATAAAGAAAATTAAACACTATTCCACCAAGACACCACTATGGTTCCTACTCCAATTCCGGCTAAGATTTCAGGTAGAGGGAACTTCCTTCTCAAGAAAACTGAACAGCATCCCCACAACCTGTTTTTCAAAATCACTATCGTGTCTCACATCCTTTGTTAATCACAACAATCACTTCTACTTCCTTAAATCTTAGACTTTCATTATCTCACTGTTTGAAAGGACACCTACGACTGTTCAAGTAGGGCATCGGCTTCCTGATGGTAGCCGTGCGCATGCGCGTCGTTCCATAGATTCCCTGCTGGGCATTCCTTGTGATGTCCGCCAGCACTCCATTGGATTCCTCGCCGTTAAGACTGCGCTCCAGGTCAGAGTCCACAGTCGCCTTGGGAGCTCTTTCCATAGCAGGGGGGCGGCAGTAGCTCTCGGGGATCTGCAGCAGCTTGCAGGCCTTCCGCGGAAGCGTGACACCTACTGGGAGAGTGCTCATCAGCCGCTCGATGCCCAGCTCCTCCTGGTCGCCGTCTGGGGGGTTCATCTCCCTCTTGAGAGGCACAAACTCGTTCTTTCCCTTCACCTTGGTGGTCAGCACGGCCACCTTGTCCAGGTCGGTGAGCATGCGCAGTGCCTTGGCCGCCCGGCTCTTGTCCAGCGTCGCGGATCGGGCGTTGCGATTGCGCATGTGCAGCTGGGTGCGAAGCTTGAAGGGCGATTGCAGCGGCAGGGCGGGGCTGTGCAGCTTGCTCTTCAGCCGCCGGAGGGAGGAACGGACTGAGTGAGAGCGACGTAGGGCGGGCAGCGAGTCGCCGCTCTCGTTGTCCTTCCCCGGAGTGGCTGGTTCTCCTTCCGCTGCCGCCATCGCCTGCTGGTCTCTGAGCTTGGCATATGATCCAAGTGCCTTCCGGCGCTCCATTATTGTTTCCTTGATTTTTATATGATCTGTTCAGTGAATTTCTTTGTGCGAGGTTGCTTATCCTTCGCAGGACACAAGTTTTCCGATTTCGGTTGGGTTTTTTTCAGCAGGACTTTCCGTTGTGCGCGTCGCGTGTTTCAAAAATAAACTGAGAGGAGATTCGGGAAGTGATTCCATTGTCGTCGAACAGGCTCTCTGGTACTGGGTTTCTCTATTCCCCTAAATCTCATTTCGATCACCCCTGCCATATAGTACAGTCAGGGTGGTTAAAATATGCTCTAAATATAGAGCTAAAAAGAACTATAGGATAGGGACTATACGGCCCTTGGAATAAGTCTTTAATTTTATAAATTCCCAAATAGGTTCCTAACTTCCCAGCCTCAAAAAGTATGTCATATTGTCGGTGGTTCTAGATTGTTACCCTCATCTGTGTGGGGAAGTAGAACCAGTACCTTTCAGGTAGCCATTCTCTCCCAGACCTCACCTACCTCTACCTACCCTTAAACATTGTTTTCAGGAAATATCGCTCACTCATTCTACTTGATCTGTGTATACTGGTCTTCGCGCTTTTGGTTTAATTTTAGACATTCGAATGCACATACCTGCCTTCTAAATCTCTTAAGCTGCCGCGGTTCCCAAAAGACACTTCCAACCCAAAAAAAAAAAAAAAATCCTAAGGATCCTAAGGCCGCGAGTCCCAGGGCTGTCTACATGTGCTGGTGTGTGAGGAGGGGGTGTTGTAAAATCAATTATCCGGTATTTCGAACATCGAAAACCAAAAACAAATAGCGGAGGAGGTCCTTGGAGGACCCATTCAGCGGCTGCATGGCTCGTCCTGATTTATCGACGAGGTGTCGTCGTCGCCTCGGGGGAATGAAGACAAATGGAACAAATGGCATTTGTGTCGCGACTAGGAGTCAGACCCCTGATTAGCCTGGCAAATGCTGCAGGGCGCAAAAGTGGAAAACTAATTGGAATCTCGATGACGATGACGGAGGGATGGAGGCTGGGAGATACATGGAAGCATGTGCCCCCAATCGAAACGAAAAACTGGTTTCATTGTTTCTTTAAAACCAAATACGTGTGTGTTTTTGTTTGCTAATTTTAGACACTGTCGCACGATTGTTGTTTAGTCCACCTGTCAACATCCACTTAACTGCCCTGAAATACGGGGAATTAGTGACTCTCGGAAACTGTCTATTAATATTTAAACGCTTGGGTGAGGTCAGTGCCGAAGGGCAATGCAAGTCAGTGAGTCAACCGAGCCACATATGTGGATTAAGGTTCAGATTTGATTTGGTAAACACATTAATAATTGACTCATTGTAAATTAATCTGTCTGAAACTAATCTTCAGACACGGTTTTGAGTAATTAAATTACTCATTTGCTCCGATAACACTAGTGCAATTATCAATGCTAGAGCTTAAGTTAATTATGATAAGCCTCACTGCTCTGTAATTATTACAATTGCTATATAGACTATCGAAGCCAAACAGTACAAGTATTATAAATAATAAATCATTCTCTACTTAATCTCAAAGATGGCTGACAATGTCTTCGGCACGCTCCGCATCAGCTTAGGGCTGCTGATGTTATCACGGAGCTGAGTTGGACGGCTGTCAGTCCCTTGCCTCTAAAATCAAACTAAACTGTCAATTGAGGGTGTGCAATAAATAAAATTTGCTGACCCATAAACTTACGAAAAAAGAGGAGCCCAGCTGGAGGAGGAAGATGGTTGGTTGGTTGCTTCGGGCACTCGGTTTGCAATTGCAGGATAATAAAATTTATGAAGCTACGCCGCACGAAATTGCCCAACATAAATCACAGCGCAAAGGCTCTCGACGACAGCACTAGGAGGAGCTGGGCGGTGGAGGGCCAGGACAAGCGATGATGTGAGAGGAC